AATCGTTTATTTTTAATTTTCTTTGTTTTTTCAAAGTTAATGCAACAGAAGCTGTTACTTCGAGTACAAGAAACCGTGTACGACATTATTCGTGTGTATCGTTTCCGAGCCTTCATTATGTTTGTTGTATTTCAAATATCTACTAGAAAAATGCTTATAACTTTGTATTGTGATGTCACACAGAATTGCATTATATCTTGTTTTAACGAAAACGCGTTACTTCAAAAATGTCCCTTTCTAAACAACTCTTTACAAAACCGTCAAATAACACTTGTCGGATATAAAGTAATAAAGTCTCTGACAATAGACAGTTCAGGTTAGACATGATTCAGTGCCAGTATACTGAATACTAGATATTTTTGTTGAAAAGAATCAAATTCTCTATTTTCCTATTTAATTTTTCTTTTTGTTGCCTTTAAGGGCTGTTATTTTTATCAGAAACTCGCTGTCTTTTTTTAATGTGGTGCGAAGCATAACTGCATTATAGCAATTATGTGGGTCTTTTTATCCCTAGATCAGAAAAAAGTGCCATTTTCTGCGACGATTTTTCCGTCAACTACTATAACTGGTAAACAAGGAGACATGTGACGAACAAATCGTCTACTAAAAAGTCAACTTTTAGACGCTTTTTTTGCCGTGCATTTGAAATTAGGTCCATTGAAAGTTTGGGACTTTTAATTTTTTCAGCAAAACAATAATTGATCTCAATATACAGGCGCGATGTTCATTATAGTGCAATGTTAATTTCACAGCTGATCTCAAATGCAATGTTATTCACTTCATTATCTATATGAATGATTTGCAATTTTATTGTACCGTTCTAGTGCGACATGTAAATATTAAATTTCTCCGGTCTCTATGGATCGATCTTCAGACTTTTTTTTTAAAAAATTTTGTTCCTCTAGTTTGTCCTTACCACCACAGAGAAAATCATGAATTTATCTCAATGGGATCGAAAGATATTGAACGGGCAAGGTCCGAAAACTGGTTTTTAGATTTTTTTCTCTTAACGGTACAATAAAATTGCAAATCACTCATATGCAGACTGTATTGTAAATATGCAGTAAAACTTGTGATGCAAATGTTTCGCTTCGGACCGCATTAGAAAGTCTCACACAACGTGATTGTCATCTAGTTTCGTATATGCTTTTTGCCGTTTTTGGTTTATGTTCATGCTTGTATATGAGGAAAGCTATTTTTTTGTATGTTAGAATACATGGAACACAATGAAATTTAGTGTCTTCGCTTAAACAAAATACTCTACTACGCTATGGCACTGGTAAAACAGATACGTGTCCTAGTAATAAACAAAACCAATAGTTAGTTGAAGAAGTAGTTAAATCGGAAAAAGAAGAACCTCTCTTGATTATTCAGTATTATACAGTATCGGTATCCCTATATATCGATACTGAACCAGACCGTTCAGATTACATATGTGATTCGGTTACAAAAGGTCAATTTTGTTGTGATAGGGAGGAGGTCATAGATTCCGGTTGCTTTTTGGCCAGGGGAAGATGTAATTGTGCGGAAAGCTCATAAAAATATGTTGCGGAAAGCGGAATGATTTTATTTTAACGTATTCTCCGTGTTCAACCTCAGGCTGTTTCTCTTTTCGTTCCGTTTATTACGAGACTAAAGTACAAATAAAAACAATACATTACGGTCACACTACAGTCTTAATCACGATTAAAATTCCTTATTTAATCATGATTAGAGCGGCCGCACTACATTTAATCGCGATTAACACTACCCAGGTCGGGCGGTATGGCAGTTGTATGCGTACGTCACGTACACTTGACGTCCATCACGGTTGGTACGTGTATGTTTCGTTGCGTGTACCGAGCGTGACATGATTTTCTCTTTCTACAGTTTCATAGTAACGTGTTTATCCGATATCTATGATAAACCTCTAAAAATGGTACATTGTACGCATGACATGCATGACGTACAGTGAATACGCATGACGTACGCGCACGTTGTGTACAGAGCGTGACGTGCGCGTACGACGAGTGTGGGTGATAGCACTTTCGTCTGGGTGATATGAACTTTGCACTAAACCTTGTTTTTATCGCAGCCATTTCATGCAAAATGTGATGAAAGTACCGACCTGTCTAAAAAGCCAAACATTTTCGTCGCATAAAGGGTTAACTTTCCTCACCACAATGTAAACATAGCTAAACTTTCGTCACATGCCCAAAGAACTTTTACCACACGCAGGGTGAATTTTTGTTACTGAAAACAGAACTTTTGTTATGTGACGAAAGTTCACCGTCACATGATGACGAAACTATATGGTGACGAAAGTGTTGTGAAACACGGGCCGATCTGTAGATAGAGTGATAGCCGTTTTTAATCTTTGTCATGATCATTTTTTCGATCATTTTCCCGTTCATCCAAATATAACGTGAGATTTCTTTGTCTTGCTACATACAACACTATTTTTGTCTTCGCTTTAACGTAATGCCCTCCCCATACACGGCAATTTTACTTGGTAACGACTGCATAAAAGAGTCGAATTTTTGTATTTTTTAACTCTCATTTTCATTCTATTTTTAATTGCTGTCTTAACCTGTTAAAATGAATTAAGGGTGTTACAGACGCTCAAGTCTTAAAATGTAAACTCTTATTTCTGCTCTTCAACCGAGATGATACAAGAAACCAGTCAGACATGAAATACTCAGCGAAGAAAAACAGACTTCCCAGTAATAGAAAGGATACCGTACTCGTATCTGCACGCCTATGCAAATGATTAACACAGAAAAGTTGACACAAAAATAGGTTTTTTATGCCGGTGCTATATTTTCCACGACAAAAAGTCAAGGCAAAATTTTTACGAAAAGTCAGAAATACTAGGGAAGGCCTGAGACCTGCCTGTCCCCTGATAGGGATCGCTGGGAGTGGTACCCATAAGTTAGATACTGCTTAGTTCAACATACCTGCAAATGATAGACTATCATGGCAAGATGGTTTCTTTTAAAGCATCATCAAATACTTGAGAAAAAGAAAAACTTTTATTCCTAATTTCTATCATTTCTAGATAAAATTTTTGAGTAAAAAGATAAGAGATGTAACAGCAGCTGTTACATCTAATGATTTTTGGCGGACCGACATAATAAAATGTTCTGCCGTATAATAAGTGATTTATGGCCTCTCTAAAATCCCCCTTCATAGTATTACAGTTGTTTTTAGATGTAAATAAATAAATTGTCTTATAAATATTTTACAATAAACTCAATCAGTGTACTGTACATCTGTGATTAATTGGAGAGCTAATTGTTGTTGAGCTTTACAAATGCTGTTTTCATATAAGAGACAAGATCCATTGATTCCTTTTTCTACAATCTTTAAAGTTTACATGATTGTATTTTTAATTAAAAAACTTGATACGGTTTCAAAAAATTTTTTAATCAATATTCGATTCTATTCGTCAACAATATATGTTTTTTTATTCGTCTCCTATTATTATTTCAATTTCATCATCATTACTATGTTTGAAGAATTTGTATATATCGCATCTTATTTTTTGCCCTTTTTACTAAGCAATTTAAAGTTTGAACCATACCTGCTTTTTAATTTTAGTAGAAATATTTTTTGTTTTTATTATTTTATAATTCTTTTATAATAATATTATATACATTGAGACACACTTTTTCTATATTTTTTGTTTAATAAAACTCCAAGATGTACAAACTTGATTTTATCAATGAGTAGAATGATTAGAAATAATTAATACCAATGAATTAATTTTGAAAAATCAAATTCAAAAGGACCAAGTGATAAGACAAAAATTCGTGATATTTGATACAATCTTATGGTCCATTCAATTTTAGACCTTCTCGTAAGCTCACACCCGTTCTGCTACTATCACCACTACAATCAGCAATACCGAGAGATCTCGTTGCACATTTAACCAAGTAATTAAATAAATAGGGCACTTCGAGAGCTCATGAAAAGACATTACTCTTTAAGGACTTCTCGATGTACGTTACTCTATTGCTAAAAGAATATTCAGAAACTTATTTGCTAAATTTCATGTTAATGAGCGTCTTTTTAGTATATACTATCCCTGTAAATAATAGGCAAAGCGACAACCTTGTCCCGTCTGGTGCCATTGGATTTGGCTGATTCTGACTTGACAACGGACGTCCTGAAAACCGAGTTTATGAGCACAGGGCTTTCGGAATTATTGAAATTAAAAATATTCGTCATTATCATTTAATTTTTCAAACAAACTCATTCGACAGAATTCACTTTTAGCTATTTAAAACAGTTTTTGCTTTGATAAAACTCAAAACCTGGAAGTTTTCCAAGGATTTTTGGGTGAAAGTTGGAAAGCTCTTAGAAGATCTTCTACGATGGCTAAACACAAAGTTCCAAAAACTTTATTATTTCATTATTTGATAGTAGATAGCATGCATTTAAAACATATATGATTGTGGGTTTCGAACCCAGACTCAAGGTGATTTTTAAGAAGTATTTAAGAAAACCAATAATCAAAAAAATAGCAAAGAACGTAAATATGTAGATTTAATACTTACAAGAGATAGTCTCATCACTTTACTACAAACCGACGCTTTATTTCGTCATCAAATAGAACGTTAGGTTGGGTCATAAAAACGTTTTTTACGATCCTCAGATGGAAAATACAGCGTTATCAGCCACTGTAAGGACACGGTCAGAAAGAAAATAAACATCACTATGATGAGCAGAAGGGTCGATAAGCTATGTTACCATATGGTTTCCCCACTCTTGTATGTCACAGGAAGAGAATAAGGGGCTCTTCGAATAATGAGTACTACTGAGTCCCTATATAAGATGTAGGTGTCGGATCTACGTCCGCTTGTATTAAAGGGATGAGACTATCTCTTGTAAGTGTTAACTCTAAATATTTACCTTGTTCCGTGCGATCAACCTTAGTCTACAATTTAGTATCATCCTCATCTGACAATCAGTCTCTATTTTAATATCCAGCAATAGAATATTAAACGTCTCTACCTACAATGTCCAACGATAATCAAATAAATCCATTTTCAATGCAAAAACATTCTCCGTTAACTCAACAAAATCTACAAACACATGATAGATTACAGAGTAGTTATGTGGATATGATGCCAACTGAGAGTACAGTTCAGTTTCCAATGTCTGTTATATCATCGGCCAATCATAATCCAGCTCTAACTTCTGATATGAATCAAGTTGATAATATTCAACCACAACAACCTCGACTAATGCAAACAAATTCGTTGAATCAAACTTGGCCAGTAAATTGTAAGTATATTTGAAACTAATCGAAAATTTTAGGAATGAGGTATTTTTATATTTACGGTGACTTATAATAAAACATATCTCGATCAATCAAAAAAAATAAAATTTTTTAATTTTTATTGTATCTGACAATAAGAATAATTCTTTCTCATCTCCCATACGGTTTATTAACTTGAATATTCTGAATTCGATTACCATTAAACTGTTATCCTATAGATTGGTCTAAATTCATTGGCAAATTTAATTCAATTTCAACCGGAAAATGATCACTAACTGCTTTCAACCAATCATCTTTAATATTGAATACTTTATCAAATTCATATGTTCTATTTGTACCTGGTTTGAATAGATCTTGAAATTGTTTTCCTCTTGATAATATTCTATCGTACGTATATTTTCGTACTACATTTGTATACTGAGGTTCTTGAATATGCCAGACAAAATCTTTCAAATGAATTTCTTTTAATTGTTTCACTTGAGCAGCTGACATATAAGAACCACCTGAATTAAGATCACCCTTTAAAGATACACATAAATATATATAACAGAAATCATAACAGCAGTATAAATATATATAGCGAGAGAGAGACTATTTTTCATCACAATACACAATGTAGATACATACCATAATGACAACAGGATCATTTGTTTTCAATGAATCAACTACTTTTCTTAACATTTTTGTCTCATTGAATGCTTTTGATGGTCGAATATGTATCCCAATAACGTAAATTTTTAAATCGACTACCATTACATTTGCTGATGGCAATGTTTGTTGAATTAAAAACTGACCAATAAATGGTGGTCGTTCATATTCATTGGTTTGATCATCATACACAAATGTTTTCAATAATGTTGTTTTTACTGTTGATGACTGTTGTGTTCTATAAAAATAAGCGTATTGTTCTTTACTCGACGTTGACCCTAATCTAGGACTAGACACCATTTGATAGCGATTTTTGTCTCTCGCATTTAAACCATTTAATATAACAATCGGTGTTTGTAACGATGTATCAACAATTTCTTGTACAAGAACAAAATCATATCGTAACAAAATATTATAGATATAATTCATCACTGTTGCATTATTAATTTTTTTCTGACCGAGTGTTTGAATATTAAATGCTCCTATACGATAACCGGTGGTTGCGACAATTGTCAAACATAGCACGATTAGCAAAAACAATGGTAGACGATACATTGGGACTTTTATCCCATTGAGTGATCTTCTTCCTAATTTCCTTTCTACTTTTTCACCTAATATATTAATTTGAAATAAAAATCCATCTGTCACAAATCAAATATTTTAAATTCTTTTTTAAATTTAAGGTGAGAAAATCTGTCTTAAAACCATATGTAAGTTAAATTTATCATGAAAACAATTGTATGTTCAGATGAGAATTCTCACACGCTTAAAGACCATTCTCGGATCAGTAATTGTTAAAAATTGTGTTTGAGACAACCAACAAAAAAAGATTATAAAACCCTAATATCAATGGATTTACAACGAATGATTTTATATTCCTATAAACTTTGCTATATACCATATATCAATATTCTGTTTAGCATTTACCAGTACTTCGTCAACCAAACAACTGTTGGCAGCTCAGACGGATGAAAAAAAGAAAAAATCCTTTTTTAGTCGTTTCGTGTCACCCGAAAAATCGAATAACCAAGTTACATTATACAATCAAAAATATGATAAAGTTGATGGTGCTGCTCAAAATAAACTTACTGTTGTTTCAAATCGAAATGAAGAAGATGGAGAGTCAGTTAAACAACGAAAACTAAAAGAAAAATTGGTTCGTTCGTTGAATTGTACATACAATTGCTCATTTTAATCGTTTTTTGTAGACAACATGGCTTTCACAACCATTATGCTTAGGTTTAAGTCGACTAAGCGGGATCGTTTTATTTGGCAGTATGGGCTTCTTAGGTTTAGGAAGTTTCAGTGGTCTTGTGGCCACCATGGCTCTTTACATAGGTGGTAAGTAGTAGTTATTGATCTTCCTCTAAACTCTGTGTAGTAGTTAATATAACAAATTATTTGAGTCATCTTTCTGTTTATGATGTAATACTCAGAGAGTGCGAATTGAACAAGTTTAATGTCGATTTCCTCACTACCGTATATAGTTTCCAGCTTTGAAAAGCGAAACTCGTCTATGAAATCACCCAGCATTTCAGTTTAGTGAGCACACACTCTGTCTGCTTTTGACGAACAAATGCCATTCCATAATCGCACATTCACTGCACTCTTCACATCCACAGCATCAGTTACAAAGAGCATCTCATCGCCATGAGACGAATCGAGATAAACCGATAGCCACAATCTCACATTTTGACTTGCAGTCATTGCATCAAGCTCTTGACTCTCAGACACTCACACTGTCAATGTAAGGTCAAACTTTCAGCATAAAAGCGATGAGACAATCGAAAGACATGGCGGTGCAGCGACGAAATCACGTTCGATTCGATCTTTCCATGTTCATAGTGAACAAGTGGAATGTACTCACATTCTCAACAAGATAAAACATCCCTAACAAGACAACTTGTTGTATGAGAATGTAACGATCGATAGTTTCACACATAAAACTGACACTAACTTATTATCTACAAAAGGTTTTCATTATTTTGCAGTAAATGATTTTTTTAACATACTGATTTAGATAGTCAGACTGATACGCAATGGAAAATTCTCGGAATCGTTATATGCGCAATAATGCTAATAACTGTGATATTGACACTGCTTATACTTATCTACTGTTATAACAAGGGTTACATGCTCAGTGAAGATGATCTGTATTCCGATGATGATGAAGACGAAAATGGAAACAATACACCGAAAGTAATACCGAGCGAAGTTTACAAAGTCGATCATCCGAAGGATCCACCAGCCTCTCGAACAGTAACCCCTATTCAGCCCATATCCGTCGAGGTAACAGATAAACAAACAAATACGGAAACAACAATAGCCACTACGAAACCAAAAGATTTTGATCGACTTGTATGGGCACATCCTCGTCAAGGAGCATCTGCACTTTTATTAAAACCAAGAGTACCTCCAATGACACAAACCCGATGGGTACAAGTATATCCTCATGATTTTGAATCAAAACCAATTATTTGTCAAGTCATCGAGAAGCCAATTGCTGCACAACCCAAGCCCTTACCAAATATCATTCAAATTGTTAAACAACCACCACGACAGGCAGGAGAACTTGTTGAAATAATTGAAAAACCTCAATTTGTTCGAGTGATTCAAATGCCAAAAGAAAACATGCGTCGTCGTCGAAGTTCATTGCAAATGATAAGCGAATATCACGTAAAGTCACCCGACGCACATGTGAAACGAATAAAAACCATGAATCAATCAACAAAATCAGCCAGAGAACAAGTTATCCATGTGATATCAGCACCAATTTATAAAAAAAAACCAATGCATAATGAATATATTGAAAGTGCTAGTTCACCAGAACCAGAATATGAAATTGTTGAAGAAATTCAACGACCAAACCAAATTAAATTTATTAAACAAACAGAAACAACACATAACGAATATCAAATTGTTGAAGAAATCGTTACACCAAAACGACATTCCCAAAAATCATCACAAAAAGTTGATAGAATACCGCCCTTAAGACTTGCCAGTGTAAATAGTAGTGAACCTTCAAATGGAATAGATGTTGCCGAAGAAATTGACTAGACGTAAAACTGAACAAATCTTTGAATAATTACATGGAAATATAATTGATTGAAAAAAACTAGTTTTAATCTCTTCATGTATATTAACTTTTTTAATTAAATTTTCTTTACTTCGCGCTTTATTATATCGACTAGAAATTGTCATAATCCACTATAGTTGATCATATACATTTAGCTAGACAAAAACAAAATTTTATTAACAATAAACTATGACAAAAACGAAATGCTATAGATTGTCTAAAGACTTCTAATTGTTTAGATCTACACAAATTCAATTGCCGCATGGATGAAACTGATCATGGACAATAATAATTTCTTAAACATGGGATATTATCTTGTTCAACTTTTTAGAGCTTTTTTTTATGAATTTTGTAAAACTAGCAGCCACTGGCATAAATAAAGGTATTCAAATTCACTGAAGTAATTGAGATATACGCGACGAGCCTCAGTCAGTTTTTTCGTCCCAGGATATTATTGGTTTTCATCAGTTTACATAAATCAATTTCTTGTCCTGATACACCATTTCATCTATGTGATCAAGTAAATATTAAGGAAACGTTAACAACAGATTCATGATGAAACAAGACTTGCTATTGTTGATTTGATTTGATAGCGTAATAGTTGTACACTATGTATTTGAGTTTATTTTCAAAAAAAATAAACGCATACCGTTACCGTATTCGAAGGTTTGACAGTTTTGGTCGGAAAAGGATTTTTTTCATTTTATTTAGTATCATATATCTAGTTGTAAAACGAAATACAATTCAAAATCCCTGCACGATCTACATCGATACATTGTAATTCACACGAACGAGCTACCCAGGTCCATTAAACTAGCACGATCCGACGATTTCAGATCGAATCTTGTGTGTTTCTGACCCGGCTTCGGTCGGAAAACATCAACCTGGATAAAGTAGGTGTTTATTTAATAAACAGAGTGTCTTTGCGAACTTCCATAGATCAGAGTTGTCATGACCAGTCAGACTTTGGAGGTGTGTGCTCCACTGAGATAAGAATTGTTTTTTTCAAAGAACGCAAGAAAATTGTTTTTTCTGCTGGGAAAAATCAAGGATTTTTTATTTTGCGGGTGCGGTGTGCCACACCCCCACACCCTCAGTAACGTCAGTCCTGCCATAGATAACAAAAACATCGTGTAATAAAAGATTGAGATATGGTAGAAGAAGAGTACGATATTCCGAGCTAAAAATAATTTGAGAAAAACAATTATCTACCCATTTAAATTCTAGGTAGGGAAGCCGATTTCATTTTCCATCTTTTTATTCAAGAAAAAAAGTAACTAAAAGTCTATGTTTTTCTTGTGTTTCGGAGCTTCTCACAAAATGTTCTTATTTCCTGATAAATATACTTTGTACTTTGTAGGTAAAACAATCGTTGTTATCGCATCAAGTATTTCATCATACATTATGATGCAATGCAGCATATATAAATAGTCGAGAAATTAGCAACTATACAAATGAATATACGGCTAGTAGTAGGATCATTTATCGACAGGTAACTAACGGCATCATCATATTCTTTTAATTAGACAAAAGTTCAGCCAATATGAGAATATCTACAAGTTCTTGTGACGGAATAAATAAATGATATAAATAAACAAGTAACGCTCATCTGCAATTCGCAGAACCCTTACTGGAAGGATGCCTCTTAATATGCATCTTTGCTCAATTCTGAGCAGGACTTAAACTTTAAGGTCAAGATAAGATACAATGAATAATCA